GAAAAATGCAGATGAAGACACCTAGAAACCCTAAATGGAGAATCACAGAGACGCAAAGATAAAACAAGATCCTAAACTAGGAACTGGGAATCTCCATAGAGAGAAAAGGAAACCCTAACTTGAGGGGACTCTTTGTGATATCTCTCAAATATTATTGAGCTCCATTTGTCACATACGTCTCGTTAGACTTGATAATAAGAATTTTGCATAATTTTTAGCGTAATTTAACTCGTTAACCAGTTGAGTTATCAAATTCATAAGGAGCTCAAACTTGAGTATCGTGACCCTGAAACTCGGCTCGACTAGTTTACAACTTTAATTACTATTACACGTACGCAAATTTAGTCCCCTATAGAGTATTTTGTCGTTCTTATTTTAGAGTTTTTTGTTAGAGTTGTTCTCTTTGCGGAGAGAGAGCCTTATGTAATAATATTTTATATTATTCTATTATTGTGGACCATATAATTAGTTGAACCTATCTGAATTAATAGTCAAACTTTATTAAAGGTGAAATGTATTTAATAGTTTATTTAATGTTCTAATATTAAAGTGTCCAATTTGTGATGTTTGACTTGGACAGTAAGTCAGGTTAGAACATGGGGAATGTTAGTAGGATTAGGATTATAGGTCTCCTTCTATATATATTACTACATGCCCCTCTCTCCCATTGTAACACCCCGCCTAAACTTACTAAAATCAGAGTAAATTTTTCGCGCTATAAAAGGAAGCTCTGCTTTAACTTTCAAAAACTCATATTAAATTTTCGAAAATACTTTAACTTTAATATGCGGGATGCTACTCAACTTTAATCTTAAATCTTTAATCTTTAATATCATCAAACAACTAGGCATGCAACCGAGAATAATTCATTACTCTAAACATCTCAGGATTTAAGCATGCATAGACTGAAATTCTAAATACTGAAATACCAAGTGCGGAAGCAAATGCAAGCATGCGTGAACTAAACATAATAACTCCAATAATTTATAGTATACTTGACATGTTTACTGAAAATATCCTTGCTATGACCAACCACCACATCATCGGCTCACGCTCTACGCTCGACACCATCACCTGAAAAATGGTTAGTGGGGGGCGTGAGCATAAATAATCCACGTGCTCCGCCGGAACCGGCACTGAAATATACAGCTAACATAATAACATATCATGACATCAACATATAAGCAAGTACTTACTGAATCAGCAGAAACGATATGATGATGAACATTTTACTAACTGATTGAAAATTCATCCAATTAATACACAAATCGGCGCACTATTTATAGCTGCTACTTAACTGACTGCCTATTACCGATGCTCAGTTAACTGTCTATAATTCCTGCTCAACTGGATAACTATGACTGATGCTCAACTGTCTACTATAATGGGTGCTCGACTGGCTAACTATAATTGTTGCTCAACTGACTAACTATAACTGCAACATCACGAACTAAACATACATATGATATGATAAGCACATCCCAACCTCAGTATACATCTAATATGATAAATCACATCGCAACCTAAGCATACATCTAATATGATAGAACACATCACAACCTAAGCATACATCTAATATAATAGAACACATCACAAATGCGTATAAATAAGTACATTGTCTATAACTGCTGCTCAACTGACTATCTCTAATAGCTGCTCAACTTACTATATATAATTTCTGCTCAACTGAC